TTCAATAAAATAAAACTAATTTTCGAACCAGTATGAAAACAGACTTTATTCTTAATTAACACAACATATAAAAGTACAAAAACACTTAACAGTAACTAAAGTTTTAAATAGTGAAATACATTTTTTGAAGTAACAAAGAAACATAACTTTAAATTTTCGTTAAGAATGTTTATTCACAGCAGGTAACACAAAAGAATATTTTTTTCTTTAAGTTGACACCGACACATTCGCAATGAAACTAGGTTTTGCATCGCATGCAAAACACTCTTGTTCTCACTGTTTGCTTACACTCCTTACACAACCATTCACCAATAATTATCGTCTTTTCTGGCTTAGGAACAACTTTGGACCTTGATACCGACTGCAGCCCTTTCAATGGCACTTTTTTCGGTTTCCGCTTTTCCGCTGTGGCTTCAAGAGATGCTTTATAAGGGGTACTGGTAATTTCCACAGCTTTCTGGATGCCTCTTTTTCTTTTGCTGAAATTTTCTTTTTCGGGAATTGACAAGGGAGCGATATCTTGTAAGCTGACGGAAAGAAAACTGGAAGAAGTGGAAGCCACAGATGAATCCAGATTTAGTTGTTTTATTGGTGTTGAGTGGCCAGATGGTTTCCTGAGGATTCTTTGTAGCATTAGTACCATAGTTTCCCAAATTGAACCTCGGTTCAAATTGGGATACTCTTCTTGGACATATACCCTAAAAATTGCAAACGTATTATCGTGAATCAAACTACCAATGGTATCAAAAATGCCGCAAACTTGACTCTGTTTTATACAATAATCAGTATTTCCCTACCTTTGTTTGGTGTCGTTAAATCCGCTTAGGTAAGAGCACAAATTATTACTCCTACTTTAACGAATACCTTTCGTTGCCCAAGTTGACACAAGTATAAATCTTTTTCCGCGTGCTACAGGCGAACTTAGCTCAGCCATTGATGCTCTTTAAGGGTTACACTTATAGATGTCGCTAGTTGAATCGCGTCTTAACAAAATATTAATGGTTCAATTTGGGAGCCGGTTCAATATGGGCGACTTTACCCTAGATAATATTGCGATAGGAATGGTTTGATATTATCCATTTTTTTATTAAAGCTCTAAACCGAATCATTGTGGCATTTTTTATATCCACAGGTAAAAGGTTATATAGTTTTGAAGCAATACAATAAAGTAAACAATGTTGTGTTAATTTAAATTTCATAAACGGTATGCTTGAATCTTGTCTTGAATAGGCTCTAGTAAATATATTGTTACAATTATTATTACTTGACTTAATATAAATTAATGTAGTTCTTATGGAACTTTATGGTTTAATGAATTATTTTCACATCCAAAATTGATGTTTATACACTAATTTCCTGTTTTTTAGAGAAATCTTTATTGTCAAACTAACTGACCTGGCAAACGTTTTGCCATAAAAATATTTTTATGGAACAACAGTCATTTTTATTCATGAGATTGAAATTTATTATATTTTGTTTAATTACTAATATCGCTATTAAAAAATAGAAGTTGATGGTACAATGGTGAGAATTTAGGGTTGTATGTATTTTTTTAATGTCGCTTCATAAAAAATTTTTTTTTTCAAAAAATAAAAACAAAATTGGGGTGGACCACCTTTATCACTTAGGGGTATAAAAATAGATAACAATATATTCTCAGACCTACTGAATATACATTTTTTACAACATTTTATTTAAATCGGTTAAGCTGTTTCGGAGGAGTATGGTAACTGAAACTGTGACACAAGAATTTTATACAGATGTATACTATATTATATGTATATTAGATTAAGTAAGATGTAAAATAATTCTTTATTTTTGTTGTTAATAAGTATGGCGTCTAAATGCGGCAAAAAGAGAGAGAAATTAATATGAAGCTTTTTGGAACACTGGGTATGAGTATTTGGAACACCAATACGAGTATAAGTAAAATTCCATATACAGGGTGAGTCTTAAATAACTGCAAACATTTTCAGTATTTCAAATATTTCTTGTCAAAAGAAACATATTTTCTCTTTACCGTTTTTCAAATAAGTCCAAAATAACCGAGATATTTTATTTTGAAAATTAAAAAAAGAAAATTATTTTTCGCTTACATTTTGAGAACCGCTATTTTTTGTAGGTTTTCTTTTTTGTAAATTTAATCTACTACCTTTGTTGCCATATTATAAAGATATTATGTATTTAACTAAAAATTAAAAAAAAATCCCATATTTTCAAAAAAAATTCGCGAAAGAAACTCATAGACTTGTCCGAAATATATCATCCCTAAAAATATTTGCACTATTTAAGATTCACCCTGTATATAAGTATACTGTGGATAAAGGTTTTCAAAGTTTTCAAATGGGAATTACTCTGAGGTCATCGTTTTAAAGCTGTACTTATCAGAATTTTATACAACAAATAAAACTATCTGAAATATTGTCCTAATTTTGAGACCTGTCAATTTTAGATTATTTTCAAGTTCATTTTTGGTATTTTATTCACATATATTTTGTAGCTAAGTGACTACTTAGGCAATATACACTCAGATGCAACAAAAACGCAACGGAGAAATTTTTGGTCAAATTTAAAGTCATACTTTTGTTATTTTTAGCCCTATTTTCATGAATTTTTTAGTAAACTGTATATAATTATATCAACTTTAATTCGTAAACTCAGTTTTTTTATAAACTCTAGTAATTGGCATATTATACAGGGTTAATCGAGGGGTTTGGCTCATGACAGGAAACGCCTTGCGTCAGCGAGTAATGGCAGTAGTAGTAGTAATCGAGAGGTTGTTTATTTATCCTAACTTTAAAACACCCTGTGCAATAATTTCGTACTGAAATTTTCCTAAAATATAATTTTACAGTAAGAACCATGTCTCCTGATCATTTTATTATTTGGACCATGTCAATACATGCTTTGGTTAATTTTTGAGAGCGAAATGAACTGATGACGATCAATTTACAATTTTTTCAATTATCATTTTTGATGTAATTTTTTAATATGACGAGATGGTTTTGGTGACTATTGTCGTAACGTCATATTACGCTGCATCGGATATTCTATACTAAATTAAAAAAAGGTTAAAGACTAACGATACAGTCCTTATTTTAATAAACGATAACGGAACTAACGATATTAAGGAAAACATCGGTAATACTGTAGTATACAAACGTAAGTATACAAACAGAAAAAAAAATGTAAAAATTACCCTAATACTTTGTATTGCCTCCCCTGGCTGCTATAATTGCCTGTATACACTTTCATACTGTCATTGAGGCTGCATATATCATATTGCATTATGCTTTTTCATTCTTCTTTAAGAACTAAGCGAAGTTCATTTAATGAAGCTGGTACCGCTTTGCGACCTCTAACCCTCCTGCCAAGCGTTTCCCAAACTTCGAACATGATGGGCAGTTCATAGTAGTATATAGTTCATAATAATCACCAAAGCTGCCTTGTTATATTGAGAAAAAACTTCAAAAAGAAATTATGATTGAAAAAATTGCAAGTTGTTGGTGGCAAGTTCATTTCGCTCTTAAAAATTAACCAAGACATGTATTGACATGATCCAAAAAACAAAATGCTCAGGAGACATGGTTCTGACCGTAAAATTATATTTTAGGAAAATCTACACAGGAAATTATTGCACAGGGTGTGTCAAAGTTAGGGTAAAAAAACAACCCCTCGATTAACCCTGTATAATATGCCAAATACTAAAGTTTATAAAAAACTGAGTTTACCAATTAAAGTTGGTATAATTATATACAGCTTTTTTAAAAAATCATGAAAATAGGGCTAAAATTAACAAAAATATAACGCAATACAAATGATATAATAATAATAAATATAAATATAAATAATAATGCAATATAAATAAAATTAGACCAAAATTTTCTCCGTTGCGTTTTTTTTGCATCTGAGTGTATATATCTACTTAATGTGTTTTAATAAGTAACTTTTTTTCAATTTTTTTTATGTATCATGTTTGTAAACTACCTAAAATGACTTGAAAAGTTGTTATTTATTGCAAATTTTATGATTTTACAATCCGCTACCGGCTCGATATAAAAACGTAAAATACCGCTTTATTAAATATTTTTTATCCTAATAGATAAGTGACCTTGACCGCGCGTAATAGTTTATCATAACAAATATTTAACGGATATTCTAGAGATTAGATACAACTATTGAAGTATTATAATGTTGTGTTAAAAATGTATTTCCCCTTATCGAACGTAAAGTTTTTAGAAAATATGACTCTTTTATTATCTTATTTACAATCTTATTATACCGTGTGGTGCATTAGAACACGGGACATAGAAAATCCCATGTTAATTTTGAAAAGTTCAAATATCTCCCCCCATGATTTTATGCAAAAGTTGTATAAGACTTTTTTGAAGAGGCGTTAAAGTTGTACTTTTGTGTAGAATTTAGTTTCATTTGGAATAGTCATTTAAAAGTTATTTTCAAAAATCTACCTTCAAATTAGTAAAACTTATAATACGGCCCGGAGAAAGCTACAATTAAAATACCAACAAAAATGTGATTTGAAGAATTTGAAGGTACCAAACAGAGTAATTTTGTATAAAATAATTATGAATTTCGCAACTTCTGAAAACGTTACGATGGTTAACTCTTTCAGGTACGGAAAATTGCCATAAAAAAACACTAGCAGTACGAAGAAAAAATGTACTCCAAAAATCAATATTTTGTACATTTTTCTAACAAAAGATGCTTAAAAACAAACACAAAGATAAATTTCAAACAATTAGACCTATTGTTATAAACAAAATATGGTGGTTTAATATGTACACCACAGTACCTGAACATTAAAAAATACTAATTATGGTAATTCTGAAAACAAGTTTTTGAAGCCCCAAACAAAGAGGTACATTGCAAACACTGCATTGCCAGTTGGTCCTGACATTATTTTTGGTACTACAGACAGCGCATCTCCTGCGAGTAGTACGCATTGGTTGATGAGCACTTGATGTCAATCTTATTTATTTTCAAACGGATGGTTTGTGTTTTTTCAAAGGTAAAGATAAGTCCGTAGGCAATGACAAATGATTAACTAAATTATTTGATACCAGACCCTCTGACACTTGCCTTCGAAAATTTTTTATTGTCAATTGAGGTGATTTTCCTAAAAAGTTATTTATAATGAATGCATTTACAAGCGCTGAGTCGATAAAGAAGAAAAATATTCGGTGCCACCATTTGTGACTTTTTCTATCGATACCATAAGTAGCCCTAAGCTGATCAAATTTATCCACAAAATTCATGTTCTTATTATAATCCCTAAGCATAATAGGACATGGCACTTGTACCTGCGTCCCATCTTTTTCCTTTCTTTTCACCGCAGTGCTTGAAGACGGATTGTGATAATATGATAACAAATGTACCGACCTTCTATCCCGCCATTTTATCGCTGCCAGACCCGTATTACTAGAATACCAATCAAAATCTCCCCGTTTTAGCTCTTTATCTGTCTTAAATTGAGGCAAATTTTTCCTTGTTGAGTTGACAGTGCCACAAGCATACAAATGTTGTTGACGAAGCTCTTCCATCAGTGGTACACCGGTAAAAAAATTGTCAAAAAAGACTTTATGGTTTTTGTTTGCTATTTCAGAAGTCATATTTTTAACTACTCGAGCACCTAAATTCTGTTCAACTTCATTCCCTGCTTTTCCTGTGTAAATTTCAAAATTTAGGAAATACCCAGATGAATCAGCTAACATCCACACTTTGTAGCCCCTTTTTATAGGCTTTTTGGGCATATATTGTTTTATAGAAATACGACCTTTGAATTTGATCATCGATTCATCCACCGCTACATTCTCATGTGGCTGAAGACAATTTCGAAAATTAGCTTTTAGGGAATCCAAAAACGGCCTTACTTTATATAATTTATCAAAATTAATTGTATCACGTGCCGGAATAACACTATTGTCATTGAGGTGAACATGTGATAGGAGCCAACCGAATCGGTGTAAAGTCATAATCAGACTTATGTAAGGATCATGTAAATCAGGCGCTGTGCTCCAGTAATCTCTGTAGCTTGGATATCGTTTTATTCCCATTAGGAGGTTGATTCCCAAAAATGCCTTTATTTCGTCTGGGTTAGTTTTTTTGTATGGTTTGCCCATGTTGAAAAATTTTTGTTCGGCATATAAATTAGTTTGGAAAACTATATGATTGATAATGTCATCGCTAATAAATAGTCAAAAAATATCTAGTGGGCTAGGGTTCGGAATATCTCTGATAAACTGAGGCAGTCCGGTATTTTCACTAAATGGAATTGGTGCATGAATATTAGCCAAATTCTTGTCCCATGAAATCTGTTTTTGCGTTTTCATTTCTGCTGCTAACCGAGCTAAAGGTACCAAATCTCCTGCATCCCACTCATAATCTGAATCGTCCGAGGCGGAAAGCACGTATTCAGGTTCAGGTTCTTCATTATCACGAACTAAACTAGTGGAAGCATCGGCATCTTGATCATTTTCATCGGTACTGTCATTTTATGAACCTGAATCTGACGGTATTGCTACATTTTGTTCGTCAATGACATCTAGGATGTCATATAGAGCATTTGGATCCAGTGAAGTAAGATAATCATATCGGTATTTGCGATCGCTGTTCATTGCCTTAGAAGTATGGTGGCTCAATTTTTGAACACTGCACTAACAAAGAGAAAATGCGCGTAATCAAACTAATATTCAATTAAATAAAGTATTAATTACTTTTTATGCTTTACGTAAATCACTTTCCACAATTGTAAGCACAAAAAATTAGTCAAAAAACACATTTACCAAGCGCCACAAATTAACATAAACGTGCAGTAAATATTCGGCCATCATTTTGCACTCAATTCAAACGACACACGTTAATATCGTTGCGTGGAGGGGGAAATTGCAAGGCCGGCATCCTAATACATGCGTTTCCTCGGCGGTACAATAAATAAACCGACGTAGCTTAGCGCCAGAAATTTAAATCTAGGTGGTTTATTATTTACCTCGCCGTGCCTCAACGCGTTAAAAATTGGTGGTTCAAATTGTGATCCACCGTACTTGAAAGAGTTAAACGGCATTTTGCTGGAAACAGTATTCCCGCTGTGTTAGACATGTTTGCACTGCTCTTTAAAAGAGCGCAATCCTCGATTATTAGCAGCCGGCTGCCCAGCTCATATGTGCCATAATCATAGACTAATGTCACTTACTAGAGATAGATTGGACACTGATATAAAACAAATAAGTCCTTCATTTAGAGCCACCTGGTGATCCGGAAGAAACTAATGGAGAGTTATGGCATGTCATAATTTTAGCGTTCAGTTATTTGTTAACGCTAGCTAAAACGGTAACGTTATTGAAGCGCAAAATTATTCCTTGTAAAATATAAAATAATAAATATAGACTAGTTTACTATATCTTATGTTTTATTAAATCATTAGAAGTGTAACATATTCAAAACTAAAAATAAAATTATGAATACATACATTTTAAACACCAACAATAGAGCACATAGCGCCTATTTTTTGATTTAACAAATAAATTATAATATAGTAAAAATATTATAGACTACTAATTAACTGTTACTAAAAATACTATTTTACCAACTATGTACTTACTTATTTATGATTAAACATTTTTTTATTCCGTACATGTATTATTTCTAAGATATTTAACATTTCTTTAATAAAAAGTTTAGTATCTAACATGAAAATGGGGATCGACCGTAAATACCAAAATGCATAAACTAATAAAAACAGAAACTATAAACACAAATCACCGAACTTTCCGGCAAATCAGGAATATCTGAACTAATAATTATTTAAAAATGATTTAAAAATAACTTGACGGACCACCAACATTTTGACAACTAGATCAAAACTAGACCATAGATGGTAGTAAATATAGAGGCTGTCATGTCATTTTCGTATATAAATTAGAAACCTGTACTTTCATGTCTTTTGCGCCGTCTGGCGATGCGGAAGAAACTAAATTTGTAGTCCCATAAAATTCGTAAGTAGGTAGTAATTCGTAAGTAGTCCCATAAAATTCGTTTGGCAGGCATTTACGGTGATCGATTATTAGGACCTCATTTTTTCAATGAACCTTTAACTGAAGCAACATATCTGCAGTCTTTGACAATTCAATTTGAAGAATACCTTGTCAATTTATCTAAGGACCCGAATTCTGTAACTTAGAAAACGCTAAGCAGTATATGACGTCAATTTTCGCTTAGTGCACACTTAACAACCGATTTGGGTATTCTCATTTGAGGGGCTTAGCGTCTTTACTGATTGTGCTAAGCGATTCGAAAACGGCTACTTTAAAAGATCGTTTTGCTTGTCGAACTGTCAGTAAAAATAGAAAAAATTGTCATTTTGTGTCGGTGTCTAAGGTTTGGCCATAATTCTGCCAAACATGCTTGCAATAAATTAAAAGTTGACGTGGAAACTGTAATTATTAAAATATATAACTACATAAAAGGAAGTGGACATTCAAAAAGAGTGAAGGAATTCAAAGAAATTTTCGAGTTTTCAGAAATAGGATATGAACCTTTTATTTATTTATTTATTTATTTATTTATTCATGCCAGTACAAAAATAGTTTACACACGTCAATATATAAAAACAATATACTAATATAAAATAGAAAAACTTAAATGTGAAAAATACAAAAAGCACTAACATAAAATTGGAAAAGTTTTACAATGCAAAAATTCACAAGATACAAACCACAGATATTAAAATTCACAAAACATTTAGTCAAAATCTGTACGACAAGAACTTGTCAAAAGAGTAAAATGCGTTTTTAACAAGAATCTCCCTCAGTTGTCTGCAAAAAGAACTATAAGGTAGGCCCCCGATACTCTCTTGAAGAATATTAAAAAATTTAATGGCCCAGTATCCTGGTCCATCTTGACATCCCTTCAATCGCCAGTACAGAGGTATCAGATTATTTTTATTACGGGTGTCATAACTGTGCACGCCCATGTGCGTCTGCAGATGCTCAGCCCGCCTTGCAAAGCATAGGTTCTCAAATATATATATATTGCCGGAACTGTAAGAATCCCAAAGGAAGTGAAAGCTGCCCTGCAATCGTCCATATATCCCAGCCCAGCCATAACCCTCACTACCCTTCTCTGTATGCCAAACAATCTGCGAACCCCCGTAGAATGTCCCCAGGCTAAAACTGCATACGATATATGAGACTGGAATAACGCATAATAAGCCGTTACAAGTACAGTCGGGGATACACAGCGAGAGATTCCGGATGACATACACTGTTTTTGTCAGTTTTTTGGCTACTTGGTCAATGTGGGCGCCCCAGTGTAAACCCAGATCCAATGTAACGCCCAGGAACATGGCCTCTGGTGTTTGATCGATCCCGTTAATATCCCGCAATGAACAAACAATTTCTTTGGTCTTGCCCGTGTTGAGCAGAAGTCTGTTTGCTCGAAACCACTCGCCTGCCTGTCTCAATGCCGATTCCGATGCCAAAATTGTACTTCCGAGAGAGCAACCGATACTTGTGATAGTTGTATCATCAGCGAAGAGAGTACATTTTGCAGTAACATTTGTTGGTAAGTCATTGATATAAATTAAGAACAACAGTGGGCCTAAAACTGAACCTTGGGGGACCCCAAGATTTACTACTTTCTCCCCTGATGTCACACCCTCACACCTCACACGCTGTGACCTATCCTTAAGGTATGACGTCATCAACTCAATACTATCATTACACAAGTTATAAAATTTGAGTTTATTCAAGAGGATGTTGTGGTCGACGCAATCAAAGGCCTTGCTCAAGTCGCAAAGGACCACCTTACTATATAGTTTATTATGAAAGGCTTCAATTATTTGGGATGTCAAATCCAATACAGCCATACCAGTACTTCGGCAGCTGCGGAACCCAAACTGGCAGTCAGTGAACAGATTGTTTTCTTCGAAAAAAAGCCGTCATTTGAAGTGCCATACATTTTTCAAATATCTTAGATACAATAGGAAGCAATGATATAGGTCTATAATTGTCAGCCAAATTTGGGTCTCCCTTTTTAAAAATAGGTGCTATTACCCCCCTTTTCAAAATTCGTGGGAATACGTTTTCTTTTATACAGTGGTTGATCAGTTGGCCACAGGCACAATAATTATATTCTTGATCGTCTTTATTAATCTTGTGCTAAGTCCAAAGATATCCGCACTCTTCTTGTTCTTTAAGTTATTGATTACAGAACGTACATCATTAAAAGATACTTCAGAGAAGTTAAATTTCACAAGCGGAGGTGTCATAGATAACAAGTATGATATAGAGTTATTAGCTGAATTTGGAATGTTTCTTCCTATATTTTCTGCAATACTAGAAAAGAATGTATTAAAATCGTCCGGTGTAAGAGTATTTTGGCAGGTATCCCCAGATTTACATCTATGTGAATGAATTATTTGCCACATTGTTTTGGCAGGGTTAGTCGAGCTTTGAATCAGAGCATCGTTATTTTTGATCTTAGCTTGTCTTATTTTATCTTTATATAAGGATCTGTACTTCTTGTATTCTTGACCATTAGTATACCCATGTTCACTCATATCTCTTAACAACTTCAGCTGTTCTCGCATATATTTCAGTTCTGCATTGAACCAAGTGATATGATTTGCCTGATCAGACCTAACAGTGTATAATTTAACAGGAAAACAATCAAGATAAGCTATCTCCAAAATATCCATAAACTTATCAACTTTTTGTTCTGCAGTGAGACTCTCCGAGTTTATAAAATCACAAGATACAAGTTCTAACCTATTATAAAACTGAAATAATCCCATCTGTGTGATAGGTTTGACACATCTCTTGGTCTGCTTGATTTCTATAACCTTCATTGAAAATCCCACAATCTGTCCCTTATGATCCGAAACCCCCATATCAACAACACGGGCATCATCAATTTCAATATGATCGCTAACAAAAATATTGTCAAGACAAGACTCACCTCTCGTCGGCTCAAAGATTGTCTGCCACATCCCGAAGCCATCCAAGAGATCAGACAGACGAACACGGGCAGCTTCAACTGTATTAAAATGGACATTAAAATCACCCGTCATAATCTAACTCTTATTTGTGCCCATCCCTAAAAAAAGTCTCTCAACTGAGTTTAA